TTCTGCACAAATCCTGCTAATAGATTATTGGCTACCTTTAATGTAGCACAAACCCCGGCATAAAATTTCCAACACTGATGAAAGCGTGATTTTTTTCTTTATTTTTTCATAAAATTCCGTGTTGATCAAAAATTATTATTAGTGACACTTGACCCCCTGTAGATCCGCAACTGATAATTGGTGTATGGGCTGACGATCAAATGATAATCTTCTAATACTAAATTCTTTTTTAAAAATTTTAAGAATGTCAAACTATAAAAAATTAAGAAATCAATGCTTTGTTCCCAAATGTATCTAGGTAAGTGTTGTTTATTGTAAATTGGCATAATGGCACAAAAAGTTCAGCGACTAAGTAACTTGCACTATAGTTATAATCTCAAAATAAATCCTACCAAAAAAAAAAAATAAAAAATAGTTATGTATTATCAACAAAATATTTCAACAAACTTGTGGATGATTTAACAAACCTGTTGAGTGGGTCTGATGATTATGACGTAGAAATTAAAGTTGGAGAAAATGATAATATCAAGACCTTTAAAGCTCACTCAAACGTGATCACCTTATTTTAAAGCTGCATTATCAAATGATCGGGTAAGCAGATCCAAGAATAGTATTATTTTATTTGAAAAAAAAAAGTCTCACTGAATATATTTGAGGTCCTTCTAATGTAAGAGTTATTTAATTTTTAATAGTCAAACTATTTAATAATATTAATATGTTTGAAATTATTTTTTTTTTGTTTAAAAGATACATGTACAATGGAATCATTAATGTAGATAATTTGAATGAAAATGAAATATGGAACCTTTTTGAATCATGTAATGAACTGCATTTTGATGAATTAACTGAAAATTAAGAAACAAAATGCATTTAGACACATTAGATGATCATTTAATGATTTTATTAAATGGACCAGAAATTGAAGATTTACAAAAACTTTTAATTGATGAAGAAAAAGGATTACCACATTCAGAAGAAGAAGGCGATGATAATAACAATAACAACAACAATGATGATAATGTTGATAATAATGGTGATAACCAGTCACCATTACTACCATTAGCATCGGATGGTGATGATACCAACAACAATAGCAATGACAATAACAATAATAATAATGTCAATGACAATGATAATGTTGATAATAATGGCGATAACCAGTCACCATCACTACCATTCATCAGGAAATTTTTCTGATGCATATTTACGTAAGTTTATGGCAGGCCATAATATTATGCAAATAAGATACAAAAATTATGCAATTATTACATTGAGTGTAAATATTACATAATTTTTATGCAAATATTACAACTTTATGTATCAAAATTTATGGATGTAATATTGCGGCAGGGAAAATTTCCTGATGTTAGCAACGGATGGTGATGATACCAACAACAATAGCAATTATAATAACAATAATAATAATGTCAATGACAATGATGACAATGTTGAAATGGTGATAACCAGTCACCATCACTACCATTAGTATTGGATGGTGGTGATACCAACAACAATAGCAATGACAATAACTATAATAATAATGTCAATGACAATGATGACAATGTTGATAATAATGACGATAACCAGTCACCATCACTACCACTAGCAGCAACAATGACAACAACAGCAACAGCAACTACAATAACAATATTATCATCATCATCGTCAAGATATCATCTTCAATCTAAAACATGAATAAATTATGACTATGGGCACCCGTTAAAAAAAAGTCGTAAGAATAAATCTGTAAGTATAAACTAAGTGATCACATGTCTCAGGGTTATGTGAAGGAAAAGATTATTAGCTAATGTGATTTATTTTTTTAGTCATTGTTATCATCATCACCACCAGTATTACAATCACAACCACAATATACTTCTACCAGGGTTGGCAAATGTGTGGTTCATTGATGGTCTATTGGTGGTCCATTGGGTCCATTAGTGTAATACTTTAACCATATTTAGTATTTTAATAATGGCAATGGACCAGTCCAAAATCCATCTGTTCTCAATGTGCCAGACAATTTGCCAACCCTGACTTCTACTATCACTAGTGACACATCTCCTCATCGATCTCCTGTTATAGATAACAATTATTATGAAGAGGAGGAAGAAGAGGAAATGGAGTTGCCCAGGAAAAGGCAGTGTTTAGGACTATGTCCTATCCATTGCACAAAAAATAATTAATATATAATTAATGGATAAAAAAAATTTTTTTTTTTACATATTTCAATATAAATAATTATGAAATTTTAAAAGACAAAGTGAAGACCAAATTGCATTTTTTAAAGCTATTTGTAGTTGGGTTACATTATTTGAAAAATTTAGATCTTCAAAAATGAAAAATATTCCAACAAAGGAAGTATAAGAAACATAAAATGAAAATGTGTTGTATATAATAAATAATAAATTTTATCATTCAATATGTATATTAACATATAGTTATAAAAAAATCAAAAATTCACAGTGTCTAGTGATGGGCATAAAAATTATCTTTAAAATGATCAAGTTATTAAGTAATTAATAACTCCATTAGTGACTTTTTAAGTGTTAAAAAACACAAACCTGAAGGACTTTTATGGACAATAAATTTTTGCAAAATAACAATAGAGCTTCCAAATTAGGAAAAGATACATCTGTATATAGGTTTTCTTTGGGTTAATAACTCTTGCTCAGAATGAAATAGTTAATAAATGGTTAATAACTTGGAATTATTAAGTGTATGGTTAAAAATTCCCTTCACTAACTGTGTCACATTCTCTTTCCAAAATTCATAAAGTACTTGCTTCATTTATGTTCAATTTCTATTGTGCTCAATGTTTCGCCTTATTTGGCAAAAGTTTGTTGTATGGCAAATGTCTGGTTTCTTAAAATTGTTTCTAGCGATTGTGAGAGAAGAAACTTGATTTTTTGGGAAGGAATTTGTTGTTTTTGTTGGGTGGTAAATTTAAAAAAATCATTTTTTTATCTGAAATTGTCCACGTGATTTATTCAATGATCTATCTTCTGCGTGTAGTAAAAGAAAATGCCAATGATAAAATTATTGTGTTGAAAAGATCACTACAGCGCTAATCGATGTGTTTTTTTTCCATTGATTGTTGTTGAAAATGATGTTTGTTAAAGAGGAATTCTTGTTTATTTTATGTCTTTAAGCATGAATGAATTTGTTGTTTTCATTGGATGGTAAATTTCATTCAAAGAAAAAAATCATTTTTTTTGATGATCTACCTTCTGTGGGTAGTAAAAAAATGCCAATATGTTTTTTTTCTCATTCCTGTTAGAGAATTTTATGTTTTAGGGGGAAGAGATTCGTTGTGTTGTTTTTTTTAATATAGTTATTTTTTGACTATGGTGCGCCGTATCTAAAGACATCAAATGCTGCGCCTCATGCCGAAATTTTTAACACCGATCTTTCCTGATTAAGAAATAACTCGAAGCAAAATGTCTCCAGTAAAAAAACAAAAAAACCATTTAAAAAATGCTAGAAAAACTAAAAAGGACAATAATGTTACTAATAAACAATGTTAGTGTGATATTACAATCATTTATTATCATTTATTAATCTAATGGTATATTTTAATATCTTAAACTAGTTATTGTAGATGTTCAGGAAGAGATTATTGCAGATGTTCAGGAGCATGTTCCTTCAAATCTTGAACCCGATCACTTGGAATTTTTGGAAGATGAATTTATTTATGATTCGATCTCAATGGGTGCCTTCAAAAATTATTATATTGAGAGATTGAATATTTGATTGGATTGAGATTGGATTGAAATTGAAATTTTCAATCCATGATCAAAAATTATTTTATCAA